CAAATATTCCTTTTATAATTTTCTTTGCTGACACTGTTTTTAATAAAATCTCCAAGGATTTGTTGTTAGCATAAATTTTCAAACTCAAACGAAATGAATAAAAAATCTTTTGATTAAATTTCTGAGCATTAAAATGGAAAAGGCATGTATCCTGTTAAAAAATAATAAATAAATAAATAAACACTCTTACTTATTGTAATGCCTACTTACTTTCTCTGTAGTTTGCATTTAATGAAAAAAATTTACAACAACAAATGACAACAATAACAATAAAAACACTACAATGAAAATGAAAGGAAAAATTTTATTCTTGAGACATTAAAAATTCTTACAAGAAATAAGGAAGTATTTTCATACATTAAGTAGGGGCTTTAAAAGCAGCAGGAAAATAATTTTTTTCTTATTGCAGTTTATTTAATAATTCTGGAATATAATTTTTAATATTTCTGTAAAACTTGAAATTTATATTTCATTTTTTTGTTGACCCGGATTTTTTGAACCATAAATTATTGCTTACGAAATTAACTTCACATTTATGAGACGGAAAAAGTAATAAGTGATTTATATTTTTTATATTCAGAAATATATTATTACTGCAATAATTGTTAAATATATAAAAGATAAATTATAGTAAGTGAAAATAATTATAAATATATTTACTCGTTCAGAAGATGTAATAATTGTCCACTTTTGAAGCTAGGTTTGCTTCACCCATTTGGTGTTTTCGTACAAAAAATTAATTGTATGTGTTTGAGTTTTAATTGGAATTCATAAAACTGGTATCTTTTATCTATGTGATTAAAATGAGTAGGAAAGTAAAATAAAGGAGGAAGGATATGTTCAAGGATATAAACCTTCAAGAAAGTAGTAGTAGAGAGGAAGACATCGATGAAGCAAGTCGAACAATATTTATTCTTATGAGTTAATTTATATTTTGTATTTAATAATTTGTGTTTAATAAAACCCATATCATTATATAGTATCTTCTTCTTATTTTCTTATCATACGCTGAAGACTACTTTAAATTATATTACGAAAGTTAAATAATCGTTAAATCTAAGCTCGTCTATGGTATATAATTATAAACTGCACACTATTTTAGAATAAGTTAAATTTTCTCAATTATATTTCAAGTTCTGTATAGATTCTGACTTTATAGATATTGAAGATATTGGAGATATTGAAATCTTATACCTAACTCTAAACAATATATAAAAAGTATACAAAGAATAACAAAATGAAATAAGTATCCCCAAAAATTTATGAATTATGCCTTGTAAGGTTGAAATAAGATAGGCCTGTGGAAGGAGATATCTTTTTCCCATGACACTATTAGTCAAACTCTTTGTGACTGTACGGCTTTGCTCTGAGGAAGATATTCAGTCAAGAGTTTCTAGCTACATCTGTTATTAGAAACTGTACAACGTTGGCTGTTTTAGTTTTTATTCGAAAGGCGAGTTACTTCTGTTTGATTAGATTTAACTGCACTTATATTTGAGAAACAATGTTATATATTTCGACTTTCAACGTAGATTGTCTTGTTTTTTGAAAAAGTGCTGTAAGGTGATTCTAAGCTTAATACTGTTATATGCTGACAAATTGTACCACAAAAAAGTTAGGGTTCAAATTCGTATTCTGTAATGTATAAGAGCTGGTCATTATAAGGGTTGAGCTCGGGGATATGAAAAACTGTTTCTGTATTATCCGATCCATATATAATTAGATATCAATACAATCATTGTTTTTAAATCCGATCCGTTAAGATCTAGTTGGTATTTAGTACTTATCTAAGTATTTTGAAAAGAAACGGGATTTTATCTCTCGTTAGACCATTTATAGTTGAGCCAGTCAACTTGACTATGGTTGATTATGTGGTTGCTTTGAGGCAGCTTTCTTAATCAATTTCTTCACCCTTTTTGTTGCAACAACGTCACAGTGAGCAGGTATTTAGTGAAAAATCACTTGACTTATTTAAATCATTTTTAATATAGTCAATACGCTATTTTCTTCCAAGTCGCGGCTCTACTTTGACAGTTTTGTCCAGGTAGAGCCTAAAGGTGTCTTTTGTTGTCTCTCATATCTTAAGTTGATAGTGGATATGACTTCAAATATTTATGCGATACATTTCAGTTTTGATTACTCAAGCCACTGTTTCTCGACTTGTGCATTTTCTGGGTCAGTTTCTCAAACAGAAAACAACTACTGGCTACTGCTCCATACAATGTCCGATGCTTACCTTGTTTATTTGGGAAGTGTACTGACGGCTAGAAGTGGCGCTGATGAGAATGTAGCTATGCACGTCAATAAAGCAAACTCTACCTTCTGCTGAGAAATATATGGAAATCGAGCCAAACATCTCGTAAAACTAAACTCCGCATCTTCGAATCAAATATAAAATGTGTGCTCTGTGCTTTAACTGTGAAACATGGAAAGGTGCGCAGAATACTTGTTATAAGATGATCTGAAATGAAGACCTGTACAGCCACAGAAAGCAAGAAACCGTTTTAGTTTAAATTGGAACGACCAGAAGAAGATAACAGTAAGTAAGTAAGATTCCCAAACCCAAATCTAATTTTAGAGTCTTCTGTGTAACAGACAATGTCATCGGTAGTGATATTGATACTGTTCTCATTCGACCCCATTTTGTCTGGTATAATAGTGATATATATTCTTATGAAATTCGCGATGCTGATTTGATATATAATTATTATTATTGTTAGCGAATGTGACAATGCAACCATCGGGTCTATTGTGCCCCCTTCTGGTTTTAGAGTAGATCTCTAAGCTCTGTTGCGACAATTAAAAGTAGTATAGAACCTACTTTATTTACTTTAATATATAAGAATATAAATATGTTTTAGCACTCATGTATGCGAACTTCAAAAAAATGTATCGAATCTTACCTCAAAGCCCTTAAGGCATAAATCTTCTTCTTTTTTTTTAAAAATAACATGCGTTGAGAATGATTTTAATCCTTTTAATTTAAATTTTTTCTTAAGAAATTCTTTATTTATACTTTATGGATTCCCATCATTAAAGTGGGATGGTTGGAGTATTGATTTTCACCTTGGTTATGTCTTGCATTGGTTATATTTTACGTGCTTCTATCGTAACTGAAATATTCGTGTCTAAGAATATTGCATTGTTGCACGAAGAAGTTGCAAATTGAAAATTTTACGATGCTGTTGTAGCAAATATAATGGAACATCATTATTCTTGTTGCAGCAAGTAAAGCCATGACAACCTAAAAATGCATAAAAAGTAAAAATCTGCTGTTGCTTCACAAAGAAACCTCATTACTTTGTGTCGGATGATATCCTTGCAATTTTTTCTACTTCATTGATTAAAAGTTTGACAACTTCTCCTGCGTTTGCATTTTTAAATTATTTTATACTCGCAACACAAAGCACTTCAATTCGTCTGCATTACGGCGTATAAAACTAAAAATTTACATTAAAATATCATTTTCCTTTGAATACTTTACTTTATGATTTAGTTTTTTTTTTTTTTTGTAATTTTAGTGCCAAAAAAGCAGGATAAAACCTAGCATATTTTACTTAATTATGCAAATTTAGTCACAACTCAAGTTGCTCGTTAAAGTAGACAATGTTATCAACTTTTGCCGCAAGTTTTAAGCAGGTCACACCTACTATTCCTACTATTCCTACTATTGTTGCTGATAGTAGGAAAGTCTAAAACTTTTGGTTTTGTGTCCAAGTGGAGTTTGTCATGACAAAGTTTGTCAAGTTTCCTGTAATTAGTAAGGAAGTTTTAAATGTGCAACGGTGTGCAGATTTGCTGTCTAGTCGTTAATAGCAAAAATTTTATGAGTTTGACAAATTTTTATTGGCTATAATTTTAATTAGAAAAATTTTGAAATTTATATTATAAGTATTTATTGTAATAAGTGAAAAAGAATTAAAAACAAAAAGTACTAAAGAAAAAAATTTTATTAAGTTAATTTGTAAAACAAATTAATTAGCATTAAGTGTACATACTTCTTTGTAGGTTAAATTATATGTGATTAATAGAATGTTCTAGAAATGCAGTCAAATATTTTGCATAAAAGAAACATTTCGTATAAATTAGAAAAGACTTCAGCGATACAGCGAAACAACGATCCAAATAATCATATCAAGGTCGTAGCCCCTTTAAAATAGCTTAAACCTTAAAAAAGAAAATATTATGATACTTTAAATTTTTCGATATTTATGTATTATCAGCATTGGCATGGATACTTACCTATATGCACCATAGGTGAGGTTGTTCTAAAGTTAAATCTCCAGCTTACGCCACAGAACAAGACTGTAAACCTTGGTGGATGAGCAAAGCAGTTGTTTTTACATCCACATCTAGTCTTTGTGTGTGAGGTGAGGTTATTCTAAAGTTTTGTGGAATCCAGCACTATTCGAGGCGTTTATAATAAAATATCTCAACAAGTCATAATTGCTTTCAAGCGATTATGTTCGTAAATCTCCAGCTTTCGCCACAGAACAGAATTGTAGACCTAGGTCAAGTGCAATGCTATAAACAACAAGTCATAATTGCTTTCAAGCGATTATGTTCGTAAATCTCCAGGTTTCGCCACAGAACAGAAATGTAGACTTATAGACAATAAAATATCTCAACAAGTCATAATTGTTTTCAAGCGATAATGTTCGTAAATCTCCAGCTTTCGCCACAGAACAGAATTGTATACATTGGTCAATGAGTAAAGCACTTGTTTTTACATCCACATCTAGTCTTTGTGTGTGAGGTGAGGTTGTTCTAAAGTTTTGTGGAATCCTACACTTTAAAAGACAGACATTCGTGGTCCAGTTCAATCCTATAAACATTTGCAATGAAATATCTCAACAAGTGATTATTGTTTTCAACTGACAATGTTCGTAAATCTCCAGCTTTCGCCACAGAACAGGATTGAAGACTTTGATCAATAAATTAAACAATTGTTCTTGTATTGACATTATGCAGACCTCGTATGATTTCTTTATTAATTGTATTCTGCAAATTTTGTTTTCAAAAGACATACTGTAAAATTGAATTTCATAGTAAAGTAGTTCAATTTTAAATTTATATTAAAAACATTACCAAAAAGCATGTATATTTCGCTGTTAGTAAAACCTCTTGGTGAAAGCAACAACCCTCATTGACTGACGAAATTAAAATCCTTACTTATAGAACTGAACAATTCTTTTTATAATGTATGTACAATATTAAGTTATGTTCATTACATTTCATATTGAATGTAATACATAAAAATGTTAAAACTATATTAATATTAAAGTAAACTAGAAAAAAAAAATATGTACAAGAATGAGAAACGTCTTATTGTGAATCAGAAGTCGTGAAACTAGTTTTTATCGGTTCTGACAGACCTAATTCTGCTTTAAGAGTTCTCATTCGTTTTATTTCCTTTATGCGAAACTCGTTTTTAAGAGTTGGAGTCGCACCTTGTAAATATCGATATATGGGTGCTTTCATTATGTAGTTCTGAGGGTTGTATGCTTTCACTACAGGTTCGTCGTCCCATGAAGTTTCTGTGTCAATTGGGATAAACTGTGGTGCTATAGTATTGAACTTTTGACTTGTTGAATGCTTCATTTCTTCATACTTGCGACGGTCCTTGCAAGTCTGTAGATGCCACTTAGAATATAAAAATAATCTTTTGTTGATAATGCGACATTTGCATTAATTATAATATTAACTTACCTCCAACTCAGGCTTATTAATAATGTGAGTGACATTAAACGGACATTTAACTTTTGGCATATTTTTATAATTTGCACTGCACCTTAAAAGGTGAGTTTGGAACCGTTTGCGCAAGATTAGATGTGTGCGATCATAAGGACACTGCACATAAAGCATATCTGGGATTAATGGACAATCCTTAACGATCTGTAAAAAACATGAATAGGATAGGGATAGGAAATATGAATATGAATATAATTAAAATACTGATCAGTACAGAATGAAATGCATTTGCAAAATGAAAAAAAAAATGAATCTTTTATAAGAATTATACATAAAAGAAGATTATGTAGTGCTGAATACAAAATAATAAAACTTACCTTTTCCAAGTTTTCGTTGATTTCGTATCTATAAATATATAATATAATATATAAGTTAATGAAAGAAAAATAGTTCTAACATAGCTTAATGACTAATTCGAGAACTATTGTGTGGAACACACCTTGTATCATAGAAATAACAGATATATTTATATTAAGTAAAAACAACTTACGTTTTAGATGCCATGGCTTTATGCGTAATCTGTAATATAAAAAAATGACTTTTGTATTATAAATAATTTATTAATATATTATTTTAAATAATGTTCTGCATCTGCAGCAGATATTTTTTGATATATGTACAAAATGATCTGGAAACAGCTAATATCAAATGTAAATATAAAATATATATAAAACACTAAAAACTATCAAAGCTTAAAAATAATTATATTTATTCCTCTTAAATCACGAGTAGAAGAGCACTTAGTAGCGCAGCAGTCCTTAAAATTCTCAGTCCTAAGGAAATGAAAAAAAATTATAGGTTTTTAATATTAGAAATAAAATTTAATGACCAAAAAAAAAAATGACCATTTCATTAAATGATATGAATGATAATGATGCGAATGATATTAAATTGTTTGTGATATATGTCAATTTATTACTTGTTGTCGTTGTGATTTGAGTTAGTGCTATTGCGCATTTTTACTCTTTTGTGACTGGGGGGCTTATTTCTGCCCTTCACTATGCTTTACCTATTATTATTATTACTTATTTAATATACTAACCTGAAACGCTTTATATGATGAACGCACGTATCTGGTTGTAAAGCAGTGCAACAGAAGCTACAAGTTGTAAATAAGGAAACTGTTGACTAATCTTCAGAACAGGAGTGTAGTCCAAAACCTGGTGACGGTTTAACAAGCTGAAAGATTTAACTGAAAGATGCAGAAAAATTGTTATTTCCATGGAATAGTAAATGAAATTCTATAATATAGAATAATAAAATTGTTGTTTAGATGGATATAGTCGCATGGGTTTTTTTTTTATTGTTATAAAATAACCTATCCGAGTTCTAGAGGAAATGAGTGGAGACGACACAATACCACACAATAGATACACACACCTCACGTGACTATACTCATATTTAAGACGTGTTCAACAGATATACTTACCCAATAGTAAAAATTCCGATAATTGTAGTACTGGTCACTTTATGGAAATAGAGAAATGTATCGATGTAGATTTTATTTATATCACAAAAACTATAAATAAGTTCAATAAACAGAAAAAAACCCACGTGTATTAATTTCACAATTAATAGTCTACTAAATATTATTCACAATATGAAATTTCTGACAGAGAAAATAAATAGAAATAATTTATAGAACATTTGACGTTTAAATAAATGCAAATTATATTTTTATGTTGTGATTTAAGTCAATGATAATAGAACTAAAAGGTTACTATATTATTGATACCAGGAGGTAGTCAACAAGCGAATCAGTGGATCATATAGTTAAATATTCTTAAACTATTTCAACATGTAATGTATAATAAACCTTGAAAGAACATATGAAAGTTAATAAAGTGCCATTAAGAACTTATTACGAGTATTATCTGGAATGATAATGATTATAGAATAATACTTTGAATAAAATTTTAGAGGAAAGGGGTGAATCGTTCCACACAATATGCACCGCGCGGCTATGCTTTTGTTTAACATCTGTTCAATAGATTTACTTACCAATTAGTAGGAATTCTGATAAATGTTTTATCCGTATAGCGAATTATATCTGTTGTGATCCTACAAAAATTGAAAAAATATATATATATATTTTTTTTTTATATTATAAAAACACTAAATAAGTTTATCTTACAGCAAACAAGCAAATTATTTATTTTGATTTCACAATGAATATTCTGTATACTAATCACAAGGAAAAGATTTCTACCATTGGATATAATGAAATGAATTATAAATTATTGAAAAAAAAATTTTTTGACATTAAATGAAATGCAAATAATATTATTTTTATTGTGATTTTAGTTAATATAATAATTATTCAGGTAATCATTCAGTTAATAGCTTTATATCATTTAAGCACACATGTCATGAAACAGAGCAATAGACCCTTACATTGGAAATA